ATAGACCGGCAGAGTTCTTTCTTTTCTATGGTTCCTTACTTCCCCCTAGTGAGTACTGTACTTTACCTGAATTACTAAGCAGAATGAGCCCAATAAAAGCAGGTATGGACGGTAAATCAGCGCGCTCCCCACCAGGGGGGGTGGCCATTTCGTCCCTACTTCCCCACAGAAACTAGTTTGTCTCTGTGCATGTGTTTTTTCTCACGTGTTTATTGTCGAGCCATCCACAGCGTTCCGTGATCACTGCTGGCCGGTGACCCACGCGCAACAGCTGGCGCCCAACGTGGGGCAGCGATTCGGGACCACAGAGGTGGGACCCCGATCGAGACCACTTGGAACCAGCGGCTACAAGCGGTCGCTGTGGGCAACGCATCAACTTCGGGTGGATTTGCGCGTTAACAGCCCAGGTAAGGGCCGACGACCCCGTTCTCTTTCTCGGGCATGTCGTAGGATGCGTTGAATTTTCAGGGAAGTAGGTCTTTCTTTTCTAGGTCGTTTCTCTCTTCGCGACCGCCTATAATTGGGTAAATAGTAATTTAATTCTCAAGTTTGGAAAAACAAACGATTTGCCCTGAAAAAAGTAATCAGGTGATTTGTTTTGTCCAATTAAAAATAAATAAAATGAAGCTTTTTCTTTCTTTAAAAGAAAAGAAGGTAAACATGGGTTGTAATTTATCTAAAGGGCAGAAAGCTTTTCTGCATGTATTACAACAAGTTCTTAAAGAAGCAAAATATAAGGTGAAAGAAAAGCATCTGGTTCAGCTTTTGCAATCTATAAGAAAATATTGTCCTTCATTTCCTGATAGAGGGACGTTAGACATTGATGTTTGGGAAAAAGTGGGTGAAAGGTTGAAATCTTTGCAAAACAGTGGTATATCTATTGGTGCACACACCTTTGTAACCTGGAGGCTTGTCAGGGACTCTCTTGAGTTCATTTGGGCAAAGAAAACAGAGCTAGATGAGGAGGAATCTGATCCTGACAGTGAAATGGTGTGCAATTTGAGTGAGCAGATCACGGAGGCCCCACCTTCACCCCCACAGAGAAGAATGGATTTTGCTCTGTATCTGCTCTGAAAAGGAAATTGAGGATTCCAGGGAAGGTTGAAACTTCACACTCTAGGAATGTAAATGGGAAACTGTAAAGATAAGTGGAAAAGTAAAAGTTTTAGGAAAGAAGTTATGTGGTATTAGTTAATAATTGAAGGTATAAGGCATGGAAATGCAATCTTGGTGAATATCAGAAGGGGTATGAAAGAAAGATTAGAGAGTTTGTAAATGTTGCAGAAAGTCTGTGGAAGTAAACATTTTAAGAAAGAATTAGGTGGTGTGTGTTAGTAATGGAAGGTATAAGGCATGAAGATGCAATCTTGGTGTATATCAGAAAGTGTATGAAAAAGAATAGAGAGTTTGTGAATGTTTCAGAAGGTCTGTGGAAGTGAAAGTTTTCAGAAGCCTGGTAGATATCAGAAGGAAAAGGATTTTCCTTCACACTTTATATTTTTCTCCCTACCTGATCCCTCCAGAATTTGGCATTCTAAAGGAGTAAGTAATGACATAAGGTTTCTTTGCATAAATCTAACAAGACCAGTCGTTAATAGTGGTTATGATTTAATTGTGCCTTCCAACTCTTTCCAAATCTGTCATCTCCAGAATATGACCAGAAAATGAATGAATCCAAATGGCATTATAGCATTTAACAATGCACTGCCCTCCTTATGAGTCCGGCAGTTTGTTAACACCTGGTTGCACTTATTGTTTAATCAATACTACTTTAGAATTAGTCCAACAGGCTCAAATAGATCAGGAGATCCTGACCCACCTTTCTGCAGTTGAATCAGCACTGGACTGGATTGGCGAACGCCAGGACGCACTCCTGACTCCTCAGCACCTAACTTGTGACCCTGGTTTCTCCAGACTGTGTGTCACACCGCTACAATGGAATTCCAGCCAACATACTTGGACTGATATACAACATTGCTTGAGTGGAGCTTTCTCCCCTAATTTAAAAGGACAAATTGATAAATTGCAGTTGGAGTTACATCAGCAGCTGCAGGACATTCAACGTTTAACCAAACAGGACATTTTTCAAGCCCTTAATGAAAATATTAATTGGCTGAATCCTAAAACATGGTTTGATGGAATTATTTGAGAATTTGGATTTTTGGAGCTGCTGGTTGTTTACTGATTGTAATATTGATTTGTGTACTTCAGTGTATTTGCAAATTGTTTTCCCAGGGTCGTATCAGAGACCAGCAGGTAGCCACCTTTATGGAACCCTTAGCAGTTCTAACTGAAAACAAGGGAGAAGGTATGAAAAACCACTCTGGCAGGCGTAAAATTAAAACTCAACACCCACGTAAGAAAGTAGGTGATGAGTCAGTGCGCAGAACTGCACCTGTTAAGAAATCCTCTCGTAAGAAGTCAGGCTTGCATTATGCTCAAACTGCCTTGTAATTTGCCTTTCCTGATATCTATGTAATTTCTCTCAAAGATTGAAATGTAATCAGGCCTATTACTTTTGTTTTTCCCTTAATATGTTTTCTTGCACTGAATTTAGAAATTTAGGTATTCACAACCCATAAAATTTAGTTTCTGCTTTAATTTCTATTATTGCCTTATGATGTATGTAGATGTTGCTTTTCTTCTGATTTGCATTCAAAAACAGCAAAGTAGGTTTCACAGGCTTAACAACCACAATTGATTTTAAAAACTAAAAAAGGGGGAGATGTTGGGAACCGCCTGACTGGTATCAGAAGCTGAAACCCCCGCCTAGGCTAAGGCTAAGGGAATGCCCTTGGAACTGTGAGCCAGCAAGGAGACAAAAGCTTATCTTCCTGGCAGGAATGCTGCTCCTCGGCTTTGACATAGCCTGAGTTCTCAGTGTCTGGGAAAAACCTCCTTGTCTCTCGGTTGCCTTAGTTCCCTTGCTCCACCTAAGCCTGAAATAATGACAGGGTGGTGCAGCTCTGTGCTGAAAAGGGCGGATTCCCCGGGGTGATCAGGCCTAAGAAAGAACATGTAAATTACTGTGAAACCTTCTTTGTTTAAAATGCTCTCAGCTGAATGAGAAGGGTCTTAGGAGGAAGTTATTTTGTTCCTCAGTCTTACAGCTCTTTGACCCCCAACTCAATAGACCGGCAGAGTTCTTTCTTTTCTATGGTTCCTTACTTCCCTCTAATGAGTACTGTACTTTACCTGAATTACTAAGCAGAATGAGCCCCAAAAAAGCAGGTATGGACGGTAAATCAGCGCGCTCCCCACTAGGGGGGGTGGCCATTTCGTCCCTACTTCCCCACAGAAACTAGTTTGTCTCTGTGCATGTGTTGTTTTTTCTCGCGTGTTTATTGTCGAGCCATCCAGAGCTTTCTGTGATCACTGCTGGCCGGTGACCCACGAGCAACACCCGGACAGCCGGTTGACATTTTCCGGCACGGCTCTGGGCAGTAGGCCACCCACGTGGGAGAAGGGAATGCGGTTCCCTTGGCCGGGCAAGTAGGGAAGGTTTTCTGTTTAAAGGTCAGCCCCGGCGTTAGAAGCCTGGAGAAGTGCTCGCTGAACTGTAATGCTGCGTGCTTCCCGCGGGGCAGCTTCAGTTCTTTGGGGATTAAAGGCTCGACCTCTGTTCTGTATCAGATTGAATTTGTTGTACATTGAGCTGCATTTTTTTTTTCTTTTTTGTAAGCACTCTCACAGGACCCAAACAGGACTTATTTGCAAAAGGTCCCTGCCGTGTCTCCCTGGCTGCACGGACTGAGGGGAGCCTGTGGAGCGGGAGTCCCGCCTCCAACTCCTGGCTCCGCCACGCCTCAGCTGAGACCGTGCTCAGTCTCCCGGAGGCTCAGGGGACAGCCCCACACAGGGGGGACTGTGACAGGCCCACCCCAGCATGGGTCCCGGCACAAGGGAAGGAGCACAGAACAGCTGTCTCCTGGACAGTCTGATGGCAGAGCGATGGCAGCGCAGGGGCTGGAATCCTTGGATCGTCCGCACAGCGAGAGAGAAAGAGAACAGGAGGCGGTGACCAATGGAAGGCCATCCACGGGCGGCCTGTCCTTCTTCCCTGCTCCTTTCTCACGGCACCGACACCCTCCCGACCTGAGAGCCTGCCTGTCTGGGATTCCCAGGGACGTTCTTTAGCGACCTGGTCAACAGTCCCCTGGACTAGGACACAGTCCCCGGCCTGCGGGTGAGAGCTTCCGTTCTGTGACATTGTTAAACGGACGGAGGGGACCTGTGAGCATGGGTGACACTCTGTCCCTGATCTGTGACATTGTCCCCACAGCCTTAGATGCCATGGCTTATTTTCTAAGGCTCTGCTTGTGCTGGGGGGAGGGGCATCGGCAGCATCCCCGGGGCTGACACATTATTTCCCACAACGCCTGTCAGAGCCGCCATTGACGCAGCTCCAACTCGGTGCGAGGCGGTCAGGCCGTGTGAGCAACTCAGTCCTCACAGCCACCGGGACAGGCTGATGCTGTTGGCCACACCCTTCTGAACGAGCGCCCTGCATTCGCCCAAACCCGTGAACTCGGAGCCTGTGGAGGGGTCAGGATTTGGGCCCACATTGGGTTTTCTCCTCCTGGGTCAGTGCTGCATGCTTTGGGAACTGGACTCACAAGGACCATCGTGGGGAGCCCTGAGCGAGCGTACGGACCAGGAGACGCAGGAGCAGCTTCCGACTCCGGGTCCCCACAGACCAGCTCGGTGACAGCTGACAAGTACTTTGCTAGTCTGCCCCACGATTCGTCCTCCTTCCGTCCACATCGCCGGGTAACAACGAGCGTGAAATGGGCAGGGAAGTGCTGGAAGGCAGAGCCACGCAGATGACGCTGAGGTCCGGGGCACCGTGGGATGGTGACAAGGACGACCCTGAAGGTCCATGGGGCAGGGACCGGCCCCCGGCCTGGACCATTTTCTCCAAGGCTGTTAGATGACAATGACACAAATGTCTGAATTCTCTAAGACACTTTATTTTGCGTGTCTTTGTTATCTTACAAAACCCGCCTCCTTGTCTAGGCCCTGGAAGAAGACAGGGCCCGGCCCTGGGTCCTGGTGGAGGGCGGTCCAGAGCTGGAGGAGCCTGCGTGCCCTGGGCCTGCCCTCCGCCCTGGGGCCCGAAGCCCCCGCAGACTCTGCTCAGGGCTCCAGACACTTGGATGAGGGCCAGAGGCCAGACCGTGGGGCCCTGGGTGTGGGCTGGGTCTGGGTCCCTCCCTCAGTGGTGCACACAGTACAGCTGGACGCTGCCACTGACGCGAAGCTCCCGCAGCCGCTCCAGGGCCTGCTGGCCCAGTGCGGTGGCCCCCAGGGCCTGCCCATTGAGCGCCAGCTTCAGCCCTCCCTCCTGGCACAGGAGCAGCACCTGCGGAAGGAGGGCGGGACGATTCTTCCGGATGGAGCTCCGCCTCCTCCCGATGGCCCACCCTGCGAGCCCCTCTTCCCTCGCTTGACCCCAGCTCGTCCCCAGTCCTCCCACAAGGAACTTCGCAGGGCTGGGCCTCAGTCCTGCCATCTGCAGCAGGGGTTGCTTCCCTTGGAGGAAGGTTCCCCACCCTGGGCGCACACCGGAGTCATCGGCGGCGGGGTGGGGGGTGCTGTTCAGTAACTAGTGCCTGGGACATCAGGGCGGAGGGTTCAGAGCCCGGCAGGAAGGTCCGGCCAAGGATGTCCCCGCCCCCCATGGTCCCGCCCCCCATGGTCCCGCCCCCCATGGTCCCACCCCCCATGGTCCCGCCCCCCATGGCCCCGGATGGGAGTGCTTGGGCTCTGACCCACCTCAAAGAATCGCTGGGGGTAGAATAGGAAGGGGGCCGAGATCAGCCTCTTCTGTCCCCAGGGTGAGACCCAAGCCAGTGTTCTGTCCGCAAAGGAAGCCCTGAGCGTCACAGGAGCCCGAGCAGCCTCATCCAGCAGGCGCAGCGTGAAACTGCGGGGAGGGAGGGGAAGGAAGTAGACGCGTTCAGGTTCTGGATCCCCGGGGCCTGTCTCCCGACTCCCCTGGGCTGAGGCCGCTGGGGCCTGAAGGGAGGGATGGGGTGTATGTGGGGGCGGGTGGGCAAATTCCACACCCACAGTCCAGCTCTCGGACACCTGACAGCTCAGAGAGGAGAGCCCTGCCACTCCCTGGCTGCAGGACCACGGGGAGCAAATGACCATGCCCAAGCCTCAGTTTCCCCTCCTCAAAACAAGGATGATTATAACGTGAGCAATGGTAGTGTGTACTGTGCGCCATGTGCCAGCATTGTCTCCAGCGTTTGGCAGACAGCGTAGGGGTTAGGGCGAGGCCGCCTGGGCTCAACCCTGGCTCCGCTGCTTCCTAGCCCTGTGACCTTGGGCAGGTCAACGTCTCTGTGCCTCCGTTTCCTCATCTGTAATGTAGGAATAACAACGGTGCTGTACCTGCCTCTGGGGCTGCGGTGAGCATCAAATGAGTTAACATGGTCAACTCCTATTAGAACAGCAGCTGGTATAGAATAAGCCCTCAAATCACACAGGTTGTTTAAAAACAACCTGGGCCTCTCAGGGCCAGTGATGGGAACGGAGGAGGTAATGTTGGTGACATTTAGCAAGTACCTGGCCCACTCTAGGTGCTCACAGACGCAAATGGTTTGCTTCTCTGGACTCTTCCCGGAAACCCTGGGCCTGAGGTCCACCAGCGCAGTTCGCTGAGGACAGGATGTTAAAGCACGTCCTCTGTTACCGGGAAGAGTGGGGGCTTCAGGTGGAGTGTGAACCAGGATTCAGGACCCCAGGGTTGGGGGTCTTTCTGCTGCCTGGCTCCTGCCTCTCTGATAGGGCTGCAAGATTCTGTTTCATGTCGGGGTCGGGGGGGGTGCTTCCAGAGTCACTTTGTTTGAAACAACAGCCCAGAAGCTGTTGACTGAGCCCTGGGCAGGAAGTGGGTGAGTGGGGAGGAGACGCAGGTTCAGGTGGGTAGGGAGGAGCGGGGTGGGGGGCAAAGGCCCGGGAAAGGCCTGCCTTGGTCATTCTGTTCCAGGAAGAGGTTCTCTCCATTTCCAGCTTGGGGAGGGGACAGCAAGAGCTCAATGCTGGGCAGAAGTCTGGAAGGCAGGGACCCTGGAGAGGGCTCTCTGCATGGAGTCCCCAGCCCCAGGCCAAGCCCCCTCCCCCAAGCTCCTCCCCAGAAAAGGTTTTGTCTTTCCACTGGCTGGAGAACTCTTGGAGGCCTCAGGGTCCCCCACTTTGGCCTGGTCCAGCACAGCCCTGAGCTGGGTACTGGATCCCCCAGGGCAGCTGGGCCAGAGCTCTGTGGGGCCACAGCCGAACCCCCCTACCCTCAGTGCTTGGGGATAGGGCTAAAGGAGGACAAATTTGTGTGCACATGCACCTGAGCCCTCAGCTTCTCATCCCATTTGTCCAGTTCAAGCCACAGCTGCTTTTTGGAAATCACATTGGTGGCAGCGGTGGCAGCAGCATTTCTTGCAGACACTGTGCTAAGTCTCAATGGCGGTGGCCCACGGCCGGACTGGCCTGCAGAAATGGTCTAGCTGGGCCACTCTGCCCTTCAACGTTAAAGTCCCACCCCATTCAACCACTGAGAGAGCGGATATAAAAGATGGCTTCTAGCTCCTCTTTAAAAATAATCGGGTCTGACGTGAGTGGGTCTATGGAAATATTCTTTCCACGTCCCCAGCTTCCCAACCTGGTGCCTCACTATTTATGCGGCCCGTCAGGCCTCTGAGGGCACAAGAATTCATGGGCCTTGCGAAGAAAGAGCAGTTGAATGACTTGCTGTGTCGTTAATAACCACGCGGCTTTGAGCTTGGACATGAACCTGGCCTCATGCCCCTGAGCTTTTGGGGGAGCAGGAGAAGGTGCTCTTTATGGCTGGGAACCATTGTATTTGCTCTCTAGGGTTAGAATTGTGTCTTGCCTTCTTTTTCTCCTGATGAGGAAACTCAGAACTCCCGACTCAGAGATGCAGTGACTTGCCTGAGGCCACACGGTTTATAAGAGGTAAAACCAGGAATCCAACCCAGTGGTGCCTGGCTTTGGGGGTTGTGCCTGCCTCAGAATCCAGGAGTGGGCAGGGCAAGAACTTAGAGAGGTCAGTGACTTCAAACACAGTCACAGAACCAATGGAGACAGAGGGGGAGAGCAGAGGGCGGGCCCCTTACTCCCCAGCCCCGCCCCTGAGAGAATGCTGGTGCCGCCCCCTCTGTGGAGCCCTTGCTGTGTGCCTGCCCAGGGACCAGCATCTACACCACCCCTGGGGTCAGCACTGTCATCACCCCCTTTTACAGACGAAGAAACAGTGGCACAGAGTGGACAAGGAATGGCTAGAGCAGCAGTGTCCTCAGCAGAGGTCAAAGCCAGGCAGGCAATGTGGCCCAGAAGTCATGAAATGCAATGCAATTCCAGAAAGATGAAAAGAGGAGGGAAGGAGAGAAGGAGAGAAGGAGGGAGGGAGGAAAATAAAAAGAAGCAAAAAAAAAAAAAAAGGAAGGGAAGGAAGGAAGGAAGGAAGGAAGGAAGGAAGGAAGGAAGGAAGGAAGGAAGGAAGGAAAAGACCATTGTCTAATTGGCTTTGAACCGCAGGTTTGGGAAAGGGAGCAGGAGCGCCCCCTGGGGGAAAAGTTAGGCAGAGTTCGTTGTATGCTTGGTGACTGTGTCCCTCCAAGTCCCCACTTCCCAGCACCAGGCCTCCTCTGGGGCCGCCTGGCTGTGCTTCCTAAACTCTGCACTGTGTCACCGTTAGAGGTCACATCCTCTGTCGGGGTCTCAGTCCCAACTCCACTTTCAAAGGCCTTTCCTGAGGCCCCTGGGACAGCCTGGCCAGCTTTACAGGCATGGAAGATACTCCGGAATCGGGGCTGCGGGGGCCTCGAAGGTAGGACGAGCCCTGGTCCGCAACCCAGCTCGCCCTTTACAAGCTCCGCCACCGCGAGCAGCTTACTCCTCCTCTCTACTCCTCTGTCTCCTCATCTGTAAACTGGGGACTAAATGGTGGCTTTGGGGCCAGAAGAGGCAATGTGCACAAAGCTGGCGCCTGCCTGGCACAGACAGGCTCAGCCCTCCCGTCATCTGCACACTTACTCCTTGGGCTCCGGCAAGACCAGCCCCCGCAGCACGATGACCTGTCCCGGCCAGAGCCCCTGGGGGAGGGGGTGTGAGCAGGGCACCTCCTGGAGGAATGGGGGAGATGACTGAGAAGTTGACTCACAGAGGGGCTCAGGGAGGCTGCTGGCCCTAGGGGTCGGGGCATGGGGGCCTTGGAGCAGGTAAGTCTCTGCCTCTCCGCCTGCAGGGGGGAGGGGTGTGTGGGAGCTACTCAGCTCTGTTCATTTATTTAACACCTGCTGCCAGCCTGGCCCCCTGCACTCTGACCCCCGGCCTCTCCAGGCTGCAGTCGGTGCCCCTCTGTGCTGTGAGCGCCACGTGTGTCCCCACCCTGCACCCCGAACTGCAGTGGCCTGTTCATTGGTCCGCCTCCCCACCAGCCTGTGAGCAACTGGGGGCCTGGGGACTGGCTTGTCAGCCCCTCCATCCTAGAGCCTGACACTGACCCTGGCACAGAGGAGTATCAAAGAACTGTGTGCAGAGGAAGGGAAGAAAAGGCCAAATGAAGCTGGAGCTTCAGCCTGCACCCACAGCCTGCACTTTTCAATGATGGAATGGAAGACCCTAATGCTGGGGCGTTCCCACCAGGTGGGGGTGCCCCTGACCTGGGATGGGGCTCCACCTGCTCCAGAACAAGGGGGAGGTCACTCACCAGCCCGGGGCTCCCAGGCAGGAAAGGCTGTCAGGGACGGGAAGAAGGGGTGCGGAGGTCACGTGATGTTGGCTCAATGAAAAGGAATGTCTTGACATTATTATTAGACCTTGGGCACCTCTGGGTTTGTCTCTCGGAGTCAATGCGGGTGAATGACGGAAGCCCCTCTGGATTCAGAAGGACACCAGCTCTGGGAAATGGGGAGAACTGGCCCGAGGGTCTGTCGTTCACTCCCCGTGTGGCCTTGGGCAAGTGCCTGGGCCTCATGTCCCCTTCTGCCCTGCAGGCCACCCCCAGCTTCCTCATGGAGTTGTTCTGCGAATGGGACGCTCCAGTCCACAGGGACCTTCTGATAGGAATACTGGGCCTGCCGCTTCAGGGCAGCCCGCCCTGCCCCCGCCCCTTGCCACCCATCTTCCCAAGCAAGAGACCAGACAAGCTGGGACAGGACATCCAGGCTGTCCAGGGACCACGGCAGAGCCAGCCGTGTCCTTGGCAACCATGCAATGAGGGAGGGGCAGCTGGGCCTGAGCAAGGGGAGCAGCAGCCCAGCCAGCGAGGGGCAGGTCACCCTGGGGCAGGGAGAACCAGGGGCTCAGCTCCTATGTCTGGGTCAAGGGGCCCACCTTGCTCCCCAGAGACTCACGTGCCCAACAGGATACTCGCTGCTGCCCTCTGAAAATGGCTGTGGGGAAAGAGAATGAGCAACAGCAGGATTCAGGGTGGCTGCAGGCCCTGGGGGCCATTTATCTGGCCCTGGCCTGCCCTGCCTGTGCCGGGATGCTGGCAGAGGCTGCCTTGGCCTTGAGAGCTCCTCACTCTCCCATTGGCCTCGTCGGTGGTCCTCACACCTGGTGCTGTGAACGCTCCGACGGCGAGGCCCGCCTCAGGTGCACTGAAGCAGCATCTGTGTGGGGCCCCGAAGCTGGCACTTCAATAAGCTCCTCAAGTGAGAGTGACACTGCCAGCCCCGGTCTGGGCCCCAGGGCTCTAAGTCTCCAAGTGACTCGCCTCCCGGCCATTGCTCCTCCTCTGGACTGACCCCACACCCAGTACGGACGTCTGCCCCAGGCTCTTGGGCCCCTCCTATGGTCACCTTCTCTTCCCGTCGCCCCACTCATATCCGACACCTGGACAGAAACCCTCCACCTTGGCCATAACTGGTGTGACAGGGCTTATCCGGGGCAGGAGGGGGGCCCGGGCCAGTGCAGGTGTCAGAGGGAGTCAGAGGTCACTGCCACCCAGTCTTGGCCCAAAGGGAACTTACGTTGATGTTCAGGAATCCAACAGCCTGCACCACGATGTCCCCAAATATGCCCAGCGTGTCCACACGGGACAGCGGGAGCCGGTAGCGGAAGTGGAGGAAGTGCTGTCCGTTCACGCTCACCTGGAGACACACGGGGGCCGCCTCGACTCAGCTCCCGGTGGCTGAGGTCATGCCAGGCATCGGTGAGCTCTCTTACCCGGAATTTCCCTCATTTCCCTCCATCCCAGCTCTCTGAGGCAGGTATATTTTGCAGATGAAGTGACAGGGCTGGCAAGTGACGGGCCTGGCAGGTGGCTGAGTGGGCCTGGGAACCCAGGCACCTTTCAGGCCCCTCCCTGCCCCTGACAGCACCTCCCCACGGTGCTGCCCTGCATTTCACCTCCACAGACCTGCCAGCAGCCTCGGCATCTTCCTGTCCTCAGGTGAGGACACGGAGGCTCAGGAGGCTGTACAGACCCCTATTCCGTGGGCTCTCCCTCCACTGCTGGCTCCTCCCAGCTCCCTCCCCCTGGAGACATCTGAAGGCCCCCTCATCTTTCTGGCAGGAGTCACATCAGCAGTGAAGGCCTTGAGGTCAAGTTCTCTCTCCTTGCCCCCTGCTCCCCGAGCCGTGAGATGGGGGAAGGAAAGTACCTTCCTCTGTGGTTGTTGGGAGGACTCCGTGAGCTGATGTTTAAGGGCTCAGAACAAGGCTGAGCATATGCGGGCACCCTAGACACACAGGGGCTGTGGCCGTGGCCCCTCCCTGGGGACAGGCACCATAGAGCTGTGTGGACCGGGCCCCACGGGCCCAGGGCAGCTCCTTGGTCCTCTTGGCACTCAACCCCTCCCACAAGTTCTAGACACCCGATGCCCCTGGGATCACCTTCATTTCCTCATTTCCAAAGAGGAAGAGGATGAGGAAGCCGCCTCCCCTCTGCAGGGCCAGGCGGGGCCACCGGGCCTCAGCCTGCCAGCGCCCGTGGTGCAGGGTGTTGCAGATGACGTGGGGCTTGGTGGTGTGGAAGCGCGGGTTGAAGTGGATGGCGATATCTGGCCGGGGATGCAGGCTGCAGCCGCACTGGAAGTCCACCTGGAACCTGGCGGGAGGGAAGGCTCTCCAAGAGTGCTTCCGGCCAGAGACCCCAGAATTCCCAGCTCTGTGCCTCTGGGGTTGAGCCCCAGCACCCCCGTGGAGCAGCTCCCTTACCTGCGTGCGTCTAGAGGGACCTCTCCCTGCAACATGACCATCTTGCCTGCGCGTAAGCCACCAAAAATCGTTGTGACATAAGGAACCACCTGCACAAAGAGAGAAACCCATCCTTAACAGGGGTGGAGACAAGGCCAAGGGACCCCTATATCAGAGGGGTGGGGAGGGAAGAAGAACAAGAAAGCTTGATCCTCCTGCTCCAAACGGAAAAAGTCCTGTGGGGAAAAATTAGTTTTCTCTGAAATGATGTCCTTGTCTAGTCCCCTTTCCTGGACCTTCACATGTCAAAGGGGCCACATGTGTCCCGGGGAAGCCAAGGTCAGCTCCACTGCCCCCTGGAGCACCAGCCCAGCTGCACTCCCCAGTGAGGCTCGCTGTCCACTGGATGCCACCCTGGCCTCCAGAAGTCTGCCGTCCGGGCTTCCTGAGGACTGTGCGCTGGCCAGAGCCCGGGACCTGGGAGGCAGAAGGATGGACAAGCCGGGCCCTGCCAGAGGCCCCTGCTGTGGACGCCTGGAGAGATGCCTACCTCCCAGTGGCCCGGCCCAGCTTCCCAGGCTCCCCTCGCCCCGCACAGAAGTCCCCCGGCATTCTTATAGCACAGCACACACTTTCACAACTTCCTCCCTCCTCTGGGGCTGCTTCCTCTGCTCTCCCTACACCCCGTGAAATCGGACTCGGCTTTCCAGGCTCCTGACGTCTTCTCAAACACCATGCACTCTGGTGCCTGAATTATCTCTCCTGTCCCCATGCTCCGGGCCCCTTGGCTGGCTGGCTGGCAGACTTCCGGGGAGACGTGTGGCAGGCCGTCCACACCGGGGGGCACAAGGCCTTGAAAGCGGAAGCCCTGTCTCTCCCTGCTGTGGGCTCAGTGCCCAGCCTGGCACAGATGGGCTCTGAACAGGTGTCTGCGGGATGAATGTGAACGCGCAGCAGCAGGTGCACATCGAGCAATGTCACAAGACCAGCCTTCCCGAGAGGTTCTCCCCCTCCCAGCAGCCTGCCGAAGCCCAAATCTCCTAGAAGAAGCCGAGACCCAACCGCACTGCCCTCCAGGTGGGAGCTGCAGCCTGAAGACTGGGGAGGGTTTGCAACCCGGACAGCTGTTTCGCCCCATCACTCAGGCACCTGGGGAGGTGTAGAGGTTCAGACGCCAGAGCACCCACAGCTCAGCTGCGCCGAGCATCGCAGTCCCTCCCACTGAGCAGCAGAGGGCCAAGCAGAGGGAAAGTGATAATCAGTGCTCGTTGGTGGGAGGGTGCAGCTGGCGGGGCTTCGGAGCATCTGCACGGGCACTGAGCAGGGGGAGGAGGCCAGGAAGCCCCGCCCCACCCCTGGGCCAGAAGTACCCACCTGTCTGCCTTCTGGGCTGGAGGTGAGACTGCCCTTCCTAGGTGCTCAGTGTCCCCATGACCTCCCCCAGATCCTCCTAGTCACCCACCTGCAGCAGGGACACAGCCCTGTGTTTCCAGGATCTACTATTTCCCAAGCAAAGACCCTGGGAGCCCAGCTGTCACTCACATTCAAGTGGGAATTAGCTGGTCAGCGCTTTGCTAAGCTCAGGGGCACTTTTCCCAAGCCCGTGGGCAGACGCTGGGCAAGCTGGGTGCAAGGACAAGGGCCCCTCTGCCTACCACCTGGGAGTCGGGCCCCAGTGGGAAGGACGACGCCCCGAGTCCTGGGAGCCTCCAGCCCCGGGTGGCTGCTCACCGGGTGGAAGACTGGCGGCTGCAGGATGAAGGTGTCAGGAAGCGGGTCCAGTATTTCTCCAGGTGACATGGGGGATGGGGCGCCTCTACTCCAGCTGCTGATCCGGATCCAGGGCCCTGCCCTACGGGGCTGACTCACCTTTCCCAGGGCCCTCAGTGCCCGGGGGCAGCTTTTCCAGCTGTTAGACCTAATGCCATGTGCAGCCCGCCCGGGAGGGTGGAAGTCTGCGGCTGGGGCCACACCCCAGCTCTCCGCCCACCCGCCGCACTGGGGCTGAGGCAGCAACCCGCGTCCCGGGGACAGGAAACTCGCGCGAACTAACCAACCAACTAACTAACCAGCCCCTCTGGGTCTGAAGCACACGGCTGGCCGCCTCAGGGACTGGGTGGCAGGCGTGGGTGCGGGCAGATGCTGGCTGGGTGGGGGCCAGGGAAGGTTGCTGGTTTCCTGGGCTGCCCTCTGAGCCCTCCCTGGTCAGAGGCAGGTGCGGTGGCCCCGCCCCCAGCTTCCCAGACACCTTTGACTGGCTTCCCATTCTCTCCTCCCCTCCTGGACCCTCCCTCAAAAGGTTTTCGTCTCTCTCCCTCATTTCTTTGCCCTTTTCCCCACTCTTCTCAGTTTTGTAAGTTTTCCAGTTCCCTGGGGCTCCATTTCAGCACCAGCTGGAAATGCCAGGATCCAGCTGGTGTCACGAGAAAGTGGGGTAGGGGGAAGTGAGAAAAGGGAAGGAAGACGGGACAGCCCGCTTAGGCTCGGGAAAGGCAGCGCAGCACAGTGTGGGGGCGGGGCGGTGGACCTGCACCGGTGGAGACCCGGGTTCTCGCTCAGCCTCGGTTCTAAGGTGCTCTGTACCCTGGGACAAGTCACTTTCCCTCTCTGGGCCTCCCTGTACTTATCTGTGTATAGAGAGATGTGTGTTTCCAAGAGAGGTCTCTCTCCGCGGGCGGGCCAGGGGGTGGTGGACACAGAGATCTGCATTTTCATCAGGCTCCGCCTGGGCCCTTTAGAATAGAGGCATCTGGGCCCGGGGTTTGGTTGGAATTCCGACAAGTCTCTCCCTGTGAAAAGCAGCACAGCTGCTCAGCTCTGTCCTGAGCTGGGAGGTTCCAGGGTCTGACCAGCGTCACACTTGGCAGCAAGGGATTCATGGTGGGGCCAGGCCGGGCAAAGGCTCCCGTGCAGGGGGTGCTGGGGGAGAGCAAGGGGCTGCTCTGAAGGAGGGCTGCCTTCCAGCAGTGCCTCGGCCGTGGGGGGAGGGGAGGCATCTTAGCTGCTGCACAAGGGCAGGCAGCATCCGCTGAAAGCTTGTTAGAAATGCGAGTGTTAGGGCCCCAACCCAGGACCTGAGAAGAGATCTCTTGAGCTCAGGCCCAGGAATATGCATTTCAATGCACTGCCCAGGACTTCCAACAATGAACGCATGGGAACGTTTGCAAAGTGCTGCCTTAGGTCCTAACCGGCAGGGCTGCAGGTAGCGAGCCAAGGAGTGTGCTCAGACATTTCGGGGGTGGTGGGGCTGGGCTCCTGAAAGTGCTTTGTGTGGAGAAATTTGATCCGAGGTGTGTTCAGGTAGAAAACCCCACGTACAGTGTGGGGGTTGGGGGGGTGGGGGGAGGAGAAACCACAGGTGGAGAAACCGGCTGGACAGGGGCCTGGAGCCCCACGCTGGGAGTCAGACCTGGGCCCCGCTCCCAGTCTCCCGGCCCCGTTCTTCCGGAGTGAGGCGAGTGCGCCACCCCCTCTTTCCCCTCCCAGCCTCCCTGCCTGTCCGGAACTCAGGGCGGGGTGAGTTTTAGGTTACTTTTCCCAGGAGGTTGTAGACGGGGTGCTTAGACCACTGAAATGTAACTCCTCACCGTTTCCGGAGGCTGAGAGCCCAAGGTCAAGTGTTGGCAGGTCCTTTGGTTCTGAGGCCTCCCTCCCGGGATCGCAGGGGGTGGCCCCTCGGTCTGGGGGTTTGTGTCCTGACCTCTTCTTATGAGAAGACCAGTCATCCTGGCCTAGGACCCGCCCCTGAGCCCTCCGTACCCATTCAGAGTCCTACCTCCGAACACAGTCACACCCCAGAAACACACCCCTGAATCGCATCAGGACTTCCACATGCGAGTTTGAAGGGGACACCATTCAGCCCGTCACAGAGGAGTGGCTATAACGGAAACCGATGGCTATTGCCACAGTCCGGCGTGCGGGCCGGTGACGGCTGAAGGTGACCCTGGGTTGCCGCACCCTCAGGGCCCGTGGACCGGACGAGGTTCCAGAATAAGAGAGGGCCTTAGTGTCTGTTGGTCTGCCGCGCTGGGGGAGGGCAGATCCTCCTGAGCCACAGTGAGGGGCACCTTGGGGAAGGGTCCAGAACAGGGCTGACCCTGACCCTGGCATCGGCAGGGCAGGCTCCACCTCTTCCCCAGGCTGCCGCCTGGCCAAGCTCCCTGCTGCCTGGACCTTTCTGTCAGAGCCCCTACCGCACATGACTTGTCACTGTCTAGTCAAGTCTTGTTTGCTGTCTGTCCCCCACCGCCCCTGCTCTCCAAGTGTCAGCTCCACAAGCACACACCTGGAGGGCAGGTGTGCTCTCACGCCCCCAGCGCCGAGCCACGACGCCCCCAGCGCCGAGCCAAGGCCCGACCCAGAGCACGTGCTCACGGTGCACTGAAAGACGGAATGGCTGTAACAAGTGGGCGTCTACGGCTCCTGTCCAGTCCCTTCCTCCTTCTCCGCCTCTCCCCCAGCCGAGGTGGCACTGTGGCCCAAGCAGAAACTTACTTTTCTCACCGGCCACACAGTGTAAGTGAGGCAGTTTTACCTGTATCTCTCCAGGACCGGTTTATTGGGAAACATAATCCGCCGTCAGGGGTCTCCGGGTGCCCCCGCCCTACCCATCCTCTGAGCCAGCGGCCTCTGCCCCAGTCCCTGACCGTGAGCGCCGAGGCCCGTCTCAGTCCATGGATCCTCTGTCACGAGGCACCCGCGTGGCATCGTCCTGGCACAGAGTGGGAGAGAGTCCACAGAAGCAGCAGGCAGGAAGAACTGACAGAACCTGAGAAGAGAGGCCAGGGGAAAGGGCTCCGAAACACCTGCCTCTGACATCTTGGGCCAAAGGACCGAGAATATTCCGATGGCATTAAGGGGAAACAGGGAAGCTGAAGGCACAACCTGGAGGGTGGCGAGCTGGCTCACCGCGTTCAAGGCCACTTTGGAGAGGTGGGGGAGCAGGAATCGGTCTGGGCGGAGCCTGGACACGGGATGTTCGATTGGTGTTGGTGAAGGAATGAAGACGCGGTTGCCTGAACACACATTGAAACATTCTGGAGAAAGCAGTTGCAACAACTCAGCACCGCTCTGCCCTGTAGTGAGTTTCGGTGGCTCCAGCCGTTGCTGGTGAGTGGGGCGGAGGTCGTCAGGGGGCAGGAGCAGCCCTCAGGCCGGTTCTCAGGGCACTCCCAGTCTCAGCAAAGAGAGGGGACACACACTTGTGGGGGGACAAGTAGGAGGACAACGCCAGCTGCTTTGTACTCCCTTTTCCCCCTCAGAGATGGACCCACGTGGGAGGAAATATTGTAGAATGGGGGCAAGACCAAACATCAGCCACAAGCCCTGTAGGCTGACACAGCGCCTCTCATGACTTTGATGTCTAGCCTACTGGGGAGGAAAAAAATCCCCTCTCGTGGGTGGCTCAATAATTAAATCCACATGAGACGGGGTAACCAGGAGAAATAACCACATTTCACTACTTTTGTGTGTATGTGTGGCTTTCTGAGCTAAGGATGAGATGAGGTGACTTGGGGCTTCAGAGGGGAGGAAAGCCCTTGCAGGACAATAAGAGGTAAACTCCTGTAAACTTCTCTAACGAGAAGTTTACCTATAGGTGAGTCATGAGAAGTTATGTCTGGCGATGACTCTCATTATGGGCAAGACTCCAAATTCGAATTCTTTAAGGAGGAGGAGCTAAGAGTTTCTCATGAGCCTGCAGAGTCTCGGTGGCCTTCAGCTCAAAACAATCCACATGTCAAAGTGGCACATCTGGGGGAGACCTGTTCTGAACCCCCTCACTCCCCAACTTTTCCCTCGCCCGTGGGTCATGGTGTAGTGTGGAGCGTCAACTCTGCACCCAAAGCAGCCTGAGTTTTTTCCAACTACTGCTCTCATCTGCGTAGGTTGACTCTCTCTTCCCTGCTGGGGCACAGACCTGCTGACACCTCAGCCCGTTCCTGTCACTTCCCGTCATGTTTGGTTCCTGCAGCTCAATCCAGTCCAGCCCTGGTCCTCAACATCTGTTTGTGTCAGAAAAAGAAAGAGAAGCCAAACACGTTTACTGCCTGAGGGTGGAACACGTCACCGCTCAGGAATCCTCCTGGGAAAAAAGTCATCAAATCTGAATCGGACTGAGTCTGATGACTCAACCAGTGGTTCACAGGCACACAGGGCACTACGGCGGCAGAATGCAGACCATGGGAGACTTATAGGGCCACGGAACCAGTTTCTCCAGTTAAAAGTTACAGGAAAAAAAGTGTGGAGGGGAAACCTATAGGGCGGGGGTTGGCAGACATTCTCCAAGTAAAGGGCCAGGCAGTAAATCTCTGAGCCTCTGAAGGCCGGAAAGTCTCGGGTGCCTCAGCCGCAGCCGGGAGTCACTTCTGCCCAGGCGGGGGGGACATTGCTACAGGCAACAGGTAAATGAAGGGCGTGGTTACATTGAAGTAAAACTTAATGGGTGCTGAAAACTGACTTCGTAGGATTTTCACATCCCACAAACATTCTTCTTGGAGTTTTAAAAACATTTCACACTGAGTCAGACCACTCCTGGCTCTCAGGCCACACGAAACCGGAAAGTGTGGGCCGTCTGCGGGCTGGAGGCAGCTGCCTCCCGCTGCAATTTAAAAAAATTAAGAGACACATCAAGTGATTGTAACTGACGGACTTTATTTGGATTTTGTTTCAAATGAACAGTTAAAAATTGTGTCAGCAATCGGGGCGATACGAAAGTTGGCTGTTTGATGACGTTATGGAACTGCTAGAACATGTTTTTAAATGCGCTGAGGGTATTGTAGTCATTTTGACTTTTGAAAGACTCCTTACCTGTTAGAGATACATGTGCCTGGAAGTATTTACAGATGGAACCACATGCACTCTGGCACGTGCTCCAGAAAAACAGGTGCAGGGGAAGTGAGTGGGGGGTGTAGATGGAAGGGGACTGACTCTGCATGGGTCATCGGAGGGGCTGGTGAGAGGTAAACGGGGATCCGTTATTCTGCTTCCTCTACTTTCATCCGTGTGTGAGATTTTCAATAATAAAAAGTAAACCGCATGAACATAAAACACCCCAACCAACCAACCAACCAAAGAACCCCCTGAACCCTGCACGGCACCTCGGCAGCGTGCAGCTGGGGCTCCCCCCACCCCCACTCCCGCCCCGTTGCTCTGGGAGAGATGCATGGCTTCACAGGCTGGAGGTGGCCCAGCGGTTTGCTCCTTGGGGCACCCTCCTTGCAGTTCCCTGGACGGAAGGGGGCGGGGTAGGGAGGAGGAGCCGGGCTGTCAGACCCAGCGCACACAGGGAGCCACCTGGGGCTCCCTCTAGTGTGGTTCTAGCCGTAACGCAGGGCCCTCTGCCTCTGTGGCCTTGGTAGGGACAGCGTGCCCGCACAGCCCTGCTGCTCCACACTCTGCCACTGAGGACCTTTTCAGAGAGGCCCTGGGATCTCCGTGGGGGCCTTCCAGAAACAGAAGTCCTTTCTCCTTCCGGCCCAAGCCCAGCCAGGCAGCCTGGACCAGGGGTGGTTCTTCCCCCTCCCCCTCAGCTTCAGGGCACGATGCCGCCAGAACCTCTGGGTCCTCATCTGAGCTCCGCCCGCACCAGCCAGGAGTTAACGTTCACTATAGGACCTGCAGGGGTTCTGTTCTAGGAAGAAGACAGATGAATTCAGAGGGAAGGTTTGCGATGCACAAAGGATTGATAAGCAAAAGTAGGGACACACACGCAGGCAATCTAAACAAATGTCTGAATAACAGATTTTAACTCCTGCGAGGCCTTTCCCGGGCCCACCTAATCCGGCCGCCACTGCTCTCTCCGTTTGTTGCTCGGGTCTGCTCCGCGACATTCAGTTTCTCCAGCCGCATCACGCGCCACCTCTGAGCTTTTCAGCCAACTGTTTTTGCGTTCCCTTGCACCCCTCGAATAATCTCTTAACCCCCTTTCCCTGGCTTTCCTCGCAGAGCCCTACTGATGCCCTCTCTGTTTGGCGACACGCTCAGCACGCCCCCCTCGACCCAGGGCCCCGCGCGCCCCTGTCGTTTGTGCGCGTCCCGCGCTGCCCCCAGCACACTGAACCCCCCAGCTCCGGCTCCGGGGGACCTGGGGCCGCGCCCACTGGCAACTGGCCTGGAGCAACGCCCCTTGCGAGGCCCGGGGACCCGCCGGTCCGCAGCAGGGGGATGGGCCTGAACCCCGCCTCCCGGAGGAAGGGCCGGCTCCGTTCCTCTAGGTCCCACGGGTCCTGCCCTAAACCGGCCTCGGGAACGGCAGGTATGGGGCCAGAGGACCGTCAACATTCAGCTGTTCCCCAGTTGGGGCCCGCAGGGACGGGGCCCCTCCTAACCGAGCCGCGAGGCGCGGCGCCGCCGGGGCCCCACAAAAGTCACCATGTTGCCTTTAAGACCCCTTCTTGCAGGCGTGCGTTGGTTGTGCGAAATGCCTGTTAACCGTCACGAGTGACTATTTCGGAATGATCGCTTACCGTTAATTTATTCAGAGCGAGGCAGGCACCCAGAAGCTACCCTCCCACTGCGTTTCAGGGGGGAGGGGGTCAGAGGCGGCGGCAGCCCCGGGGGCAGGTAAAGAAGGGCTGAGTCTCCGCAGAAGCCTCCGCCCTCGGGTTTAGCCCCAAGGTTTCTGCGATCTGGGACGGACTCCTCTGACTCCCTCATCCTCTCAGGGATCCTGACCCCGGGTCCCCCTCTCCAGCATCCGGTCCTACACCCCCTTCATTGATTCACCCAGAGACAGATCAAAGACTAGCCAGCCTCTCAGGGTCGGGACTAGAGCTCCCAGCCCACCTTCACTGTCAAGGTGACCGCCTGAACTCCCACTCACCAGGTTTCACCCCCCCCCCCCACACACACACCCGTTCCTGGCCACAGAAGGCAAGTGTGGTTTAAATGGCATTTTTTTTCCCCTTGAAATAGAACGCGTGGGATCCCAAGTGTCTGTCCAGGTCTTGCCCAAGCAGCCAAAACAAGGGCCGTTACGACTGGGCAGAAGCCTCCAGAAGGGGTAAGGCTCTTTGCAGGGAAGGACTGGCTGGGTCTTTGGGTGGTAGAGCCTTTCGAGGAATGGGTTTTGCTGGCAGTTGCGCAAAACAAATCCTGGTGGAGTTTCTGTGCAGACCAGCCTCGCACCGACCCCGTAAGTAGGAGGCAGGTGTGGTCCTAGCGACAGAGTGGGACCGGGCCTGGGACTCGCTGGCAGGAGGTGCCTCTCGCAGCCATGCCTGGCCACAGGGCCGCTTCTCCAGAGCCCTGAGGACAGAAGTGCTTTGGAAGGCCCTTCCAGTATTGCCAGTGGGTGACTCACGAAGGAGGCAGCCAATGCCCTCAGCTGGCTTTCATTAGAAACACGGTTTGCCTCTTTTTAAAATTCCGAGGGGCTGCAAGTTTCCAGTGGAGCTATAGTAAAACCGACAACCACCCCCCGCCCCCCAGCCCCATGTCCTATACTTTCCAGAAGAGCTCAAGCTGGAGAAAGACAAAGAAGGGGCCCTGTTGCATTGGTAACATGCCGATGCAAACGTCTGCTTCCTCGTGTAACCCTCTTGACAATTGCGGGAGACAAATGTCACCACCTCTGTTGTGTAGACAATCACACTGAGTTCCGACAGGTTAACTGACCAGCTCAGGTTCGGACACGGGCCAGAGCCAGGTTTGAACCCAGGTCTCTTCGGCTTCAACGCATTTCAACCCAAGAAGCATGTTCTTGGTCTCGGGTCCAGTCCTCTCCTACCGCATGTTTCATCCAAGGAGAAAGTAGACCGACTTCTGTCACATTACTTGCAGTGACCGTGTTGTGGCCCAACATGATTTCTGGGGAATATGGCCCTACCTGTTGGAAGAAACAGCTCAGGACCTCACGGGGCCTGCCTGTGGCAGTCGGACCCGAGTGCCAGAGGAGGACCTGAGGCCTCTTGCGTGTCATTATAAAGCCATTATATACAGTTATCGTTTTTTTCAAAGCTGTATGCAAGTATCACTTTGATAACGTTTTAAAAAAGATTATTAGCAAGTAAAAAAAAAAAACCTCTGAGAGCTACTCCTTATTATCATTCGCATTTTAGAACAATGGGCTGAAAAGCAGCAGTAACTGGCCATTATTCTGTATGACAGTGAACGGCATCGCAGGAGCAAGCCCCAGGGGAAAGGTTTCCTCGACTCCCAAACCCGAGAGCTCTCCTAAAACCACGAATCTGAAGTAACACAGGGTTTGCAGTAAGTGTGAAGAAGTGTTCCTTGTTAACTGTATGATCACCACGTCCGTTTAGGGAGAAGCCCGGGGTTAGCTCGGAGACCGCCCCCACCCAGAAGAGAACTAAGTCCAGCGTGTCCCTGAAGTCCGAGACCGCAGGCAAGTTGACAAAGCCAGCAGCCAAGGTGCGTGTGACCAGACCCCTAGGCGGCCCTGGTGACTTCTTCTCCACACCCTGCATTTTACTTTATTTAGACTGTGTGGCAGCGTGAGCTGCATACTGATTTGGGGTGTTGGCTGTATGCCTTTTTAATTTTTTTTAAATAGCTTTATGGAGGTATAACTGACATGCCTACATCTGGCGTACAGCAAACGACACATATTTAGAATATACAGCTGAATGTGTTTTTGATATACGTATCTACCCGTGAAGCCCTCCCCACAACTCAGACTTCCTGTTCCCCTTCCTAAGTCCCTCCGCCTCCCCACGCCGCCCCCATCCCCAGGCGACCACTGATCTGCTTCCGGTCACTATAGACTTGTGTGCGTTTCTAAGACAATTATATAAGTGGAATCATATCATACGGGCCCTTTCTAGTCTGCCTTCTTTCTCGTAACTTTACTTAATTCCTTGGAGTTACGGCTGTGTGTGGTTCATTCCTCTTGACTACTGAGTGGTGTTCCACGGTACGGACGCTCACTTTTCCGTTCTTTGAGTTATGGTCACTGCTTGGCTATTACAAATAAAACTGTTACGGACAATTGTGCCCAAGTCTTTGTAGAGACCTATGTTTCCTCTTGGGGGATATCCTCGCACGTGCTTTCAGTTTAATACTTTGTGAAATCACCTCCTGCGGCACACTGACGCAGACAGCTACCGCCGCCTCTGTCACCCAGGGTGGCTGCCGCCTTCAACACTTTGGAAGAGTCCTTTAGGACAGAAATGTACGCAGACCTGCACTTCTAAGGGTGGGCTCGGGGATCTCATTTGATAGCATCATAGGCAAAAAATGTGGTAAGAGATGAATAGGGTTTTACTCAGGAACAGTGAAATCTGGACTGTATAGCGTTACTTCTCTAACATTCTTTCCTCAGCAGAGATCTGGGAGGAGGGTCTTGGCCCACGGGGTCCTCATGGGCTATTGGGGGGCAAGGGAGGAAGAAGATGATAAGAACCTCCATTCCAATGTGCGAGCAGCCACATCGCCACTCCCAGCATGAAACTGTGTATATCGTTAATACATGGGTCATTCCCTTTCCCCTGTTCTAGGGGTTGGGACAAAAACGCTCCATATGTGTCACTTCAAGCTGTTCCGTTTTCCTCTTCACCCAACTCAGGCCTGCATGTGCATCTCTGAAGGGTGTTCACCCTTCGCCTTCTTGAAGGTTGCTTGCTCTGCCATGCCATTTTGAGGCCCCGGATGCATCCCTTCAGTCAGTCACTGAGCTCCTATTTCTGCTGCTTTCGCCAAGCCGTGCGCATGCCCTTGAAAACACACAGAACTCCTCACTGCTGTGTGCAACCGGGTGGACTGATGACAAGATCGGGCGGACGAGATATTTGTGTCTTGAGGTCCTAGCACGTAAGGAACGCCAGCCAGCTCTTTTCCTCAGAGGAGGCCTTAGAGACTGCTGGCCGTGGACATGGGTCCAGATGCCCCCTCTCCGTGCCCACATTCTCTCCTCTTTTTCTTTGTATCTATTTGTCATCTCCAGATGCATCCTGTGTCACTCCCCTTCCCTGTTCACTCGGCACCAGCCATGCCAGCTTCCTTCTTGTACTTCTGATGAACCCAAGTCTGTCCTTCCTCAGGGCCTCTGCACTCACCAGGCGGCACTTACCGTTGTTACAGACTGAATATATGTGCCCCCCCCACACACACACAGTCTATATGTTGAGTCCCTAATCCCACACATGGCTGTCTTTGGAAGACATGATGAAGGTTACATGAGATTCTAAGGGTGAGGCCCTCATCTGAAAGCATTAGATTAGAGACACCAGAGAGCTGGCTCTCTCCCCCTGTCCACACACGCAAAAACAAACAAACAAACAAACAGTCATAGGAGCACACAGCAGGATGACAGCTGCACACAAGCCAAGAGAAGAGGCCTCAGAAGGAAAACTGCTCTTCTGGTGCCTTGATCTTGGACTTCCAGCCTCCAGGATGGTGAGAAAATAAACTTCTGCCGTCTAAGGCGCCCGGCCTGTGGCACTTTGTACAGCAGCCAGAGCAGACAAACACAGGTCTTCTCTTGGGAGAGGCCCTCCCTGGCCTCTCTGCAGAGGCCGACTCTGTGCTTTTGAACTTGGCCCCTCCCACTTTGTCAGGACCCCTTGGGGGCTGATTACTCTTCTTTCTCTGCCATCTTCAACATCCCTCTTTCCGTTGGAGCTTCACGGGCAGAACTGAACCCGTGCTGCCGTCTTTCCCAGCTTGAAAACTCCCTCCCTTCACCCCTTGTTCCCCTTCATTCCCACCCAATGCCTCTCCTCCCTTTTGCAGCCAATACCTTGAAAGAGGCGCCCGCCCTTGTGGTCTGCAGTTCCTCTCCCCCCCCTCCCCTTTCCTGTCTCGCTCACGCCAGAAAGGCCTCCCCTCCACCACACTAAGTTTTAGGATCCCCATGTCCATTTATTTTTGTTAATGGCTCCTGGTATTTCAAGGGGAGATCGTGTTGAATTTATGGATCCATTTGGTGCATTGCCACCTTATCATGATAGTTTTCAAGTCCATGAACATGGTGTGAGTTTTCATTTATTCAAATCATCTTTACTTTCCTTTAGCCAGAGTAATATCGCAAAAGAGCAAAGTAGCTTAAGCAGCTCCACAGAAGGGCAGTGCAGCACGGATGAGCCCGACGCCCTTCTGCTCAGTGACAGAAGCCAGACACGGGGGGACCCCATGACATGTGATTCCGTTTCTATGCAATGCCCAGAAAGGGCTCGTCTGGAGAGACAGAAAGCAGATTGGTGGTCGCCTGGGGCCTGGGGGAAGGGTAGGGGAAGAGAGGTGAGTGATGGCTGATGGGTATAAGGTTGCCCGGGGCTGGGGGCAGGACGTGGGTCTGACCGCAGATGGATTGAGGAATCTTTCAGGGATAATGGACAGGTTCTCAAATAGGCCTCTGGTGAAGCTTGCGCAACTGCTGTGGATTTACTAAAAGTCGTTGAACTGTATCCTTAAACTGTGTGCATTTGTCAATTATGTCTCAGAAAAGGGTCAAAAGAAACAAGTGAAAAGCCCCTTTTACTTCCGTGAATTCACGCCCTGGCAAATGCCGGTCCTCACCCAGGGAAGTGAGGCTGGGGACTGCGGGGAGAGCTACAGCCTCATGGAAACCAGACCAGCTGGGGAAATTGTTGCAAACTCGGGGGCAGCAACAACGATCTTGTCCAGCTGATGCGAGGGAGGGGCGGTCCCTGCCTCTCTGCCTGGCTCTGACTCCCAGCATGCCTGCTTCTCCAGGAGGAAGGCGTGAGCCGGGCGTCTTCCCAGCACCACCCGGCGCAAACGCGGAGACAGTTTGGGAGGAGGAGCAGGGCGGGCATCAGAACTGAGTCTGCGTTTTTATGTTTTTATTGTGCTGAGCACATTGCTGGAGTAAGAGGGATGCGGGATATGAGCTTTTTTCTAAGTTTGGGTTTACAGTGGCCACAGCTCTGGGATTGCTTTTTTTTCCTTTCCTTTCCTTTTTTTTTTTTTTTTTTTAATTATGGTAAGAGCACTTACCATGAGACACACCTACCCCCTTAACAAACTTTTGGGTGCCGTGCACACGCGCTGTCTCTCAGATGAACAGGCTCTCTCCCCCAGGCCTCTTTGAAGAGTATTGGCGGTCTGGGTCCCGTCAGGAGCTGGAAAGCACACAGCAGGTTAAACGGGGGAAGTTTAATGTAAAGAATTATTAAGATACCAGGAAGCTTGACATGGCCTCCCAGGGCTGAGGACCTGGCGGGCATTCGAGGAAGGACAAACCTGGAAAGGGTCCAGACCTCATTGGAGAAGTAGAGCCCACCCCCTGGAGAGCAGGACGTTGGTTTGCCCAGGCTGCAGGTGGTCTTTAGTTGCTGGGCATGTGCAACCCTCTGGAATGTAGGTGGCGAGCTGGCTCTCAGCAACCCATGGGGTGGGCATGCAGAGGAGCGGGGACCCTCTGGGCCACAGGAGGGCCATGCAGGGGACCTGCAGAGGGAATCTGGAGGCCAGTGGGGTCAGGGGCAGTAGGCTTTGGGGCACTTTGTCCATCAAGAGGACCCCAGAGGGGCTGCAAGGTTATGGGGACAGAAGGATCGGGGCTCAGGCAGACCTCCACCAGGTGTCTCCACACTGGCGTCACTAATCATGACCCCCTCTCCCAGGACATTTCAATAGAGGACATTTCAGGGGAGCCCCTGCTTCTTGCAACGTCCCTGCAGCGCCCTCTATTGGGAAAGCTTCACCGGGTGCTCAAAGTCAAGGAGAAATGCTTAAAGCAGTGTTGTCAGTCATTCACGCAGCGTATATAAGGAGGCTGTAATACCTAAAGAACTGGTGCAGCCACCAGCCTCGCTGCCTTTAGTGACGAGGGTGACAGCAGGAGGTGGGGGAGGGCCGTCGCTCCTCTGCGTGAAGAGGGCTTTCTCCAGCCTGCGTTTCCGTACAGTGGGTTTCTTTTTTCTTTTCTTTTCTTTTTAAAGATTTTATTTATTTATTTTTAGAGAGGGAAGGTAGGGAGATAGAGAGAGAAACATCAATGTGTGGTTGCTGGGGGCCGTGGCCTGCAACCCAGGCATGTGCCCTGACTGGGAATCGAACCTGCGACACTTTGGTTCACAGCCCACACTCAATCCACTGAGCTACGCCAGCCAGGGCTGCGTACAGTGGGTTTCTGTACAGAGAGGAGACGCGGGGCCTTCAGGCTGAGCTGTAGCTGACCCCCACACAGCGTCTCTGGAATTCCTCGGGCATGAGCCCTGTCTCTATTACTGTATTTCTTCCCATCACAGGGCAAACCAAGACCCCGACCTGGAGACCTGATTGAGATTTTTCGAATTGGCTATGAGCACTGGGCCATCTACGTGGAGGACGATCGCGTGGTCCACCTGGCCCCCCCGAGTAAGACACTCTGCTGAAATAGCGATGCTTCAGTTAGAAAAGGAAAAGACGTATCGTTAATGATTGAGTTCCTCAGCTGCTGCCTTGCCTGAGCAATAGAACACCCTGAAGCATGATGAGGCCTCCCTTTACCATGGGATAGAACTTGGTCTCTGTCCACCCAATGCCGCTGTGTGCCCAGCCTTAAGGGAGACGCAAGTGAGAGTGGGCCCAGGCCCCCGACCGCCGAGGCTGCCCTTTCCTTTCGGTGTCGAATTTGAGGACCCGAGCCTCCCTCCACGTTGGCGGCACTTCCACATCCTTCCTCGTGATCCCGAGGAGGCCCCCGGAGGGTGCAGGGGCTCACCTGCTCTGACCATCACTTGCTTCCTGTTGCCCCCCCCCGCCGCCCCCAGTGCTGCTTCCGGTTCCCTCACCACCTGGGGCACCTCCAGCCTCACCTGGCCTGCCAGCTCTTCCCTGCCTGCCCCAGGCCGTGCCCCCCCGCCACCCCCAGTGCAGACATAGCTCTCCTTTTGTTTCCCAAGGCAGCGTTAACACAAGGCTGAGACTAGACTGGTGGCCGATGAAATGGCGGTAGAGGTGTGAGGATGACAGGTGGGCGGTGATAGAAAGTTACAGCATGGAATGGGAAACGGTATAAACTTGGCCATCCAGAGTCATCGGTCAGAGTGGCCAGCTCAGGAGGCAGGACCTGGGGGAGCTGGGAGAAGGGGAAGGAGGGGGCTCCACAGCACTGGGTGCCTTTTGGATTTGCATCCTGTGCTCGTGCTGCCTGTTTTAAGACTAAATTACAGGAGGTCGCTGGTACCAAAGGTCTGTGGACTGTGGCCTGTGTGCCTCCATTGGCCCGGCCCCTCACCTTGCTGAGACCGCCCACGGAGCAGCCCCTCTTCCCGCCCCTCACCCCCTGCCCCATCCACTCACACCCCACCCCGCACTTCCGGCCTGGAAGCCTGCTCCTGGAACAAAGAAGGTAGACGTTGCTTCACATTACATTCCCCTCTGTCTCTCCTTTCCAGGAGCCTCCCCCTTGCATGACCAAAGGGATTGTTAACAATTATAACATCAGCTCTTTCTCTAGAAATGACGTCTGCCATCTCCTCCCGGGAGCTGAATTGCCTACTGCCAGCTTTTATGAAACTGGCAGATTTTCCTCAAATACGTAAGAAAAGAGCCAGGGGCATTACCTGCCCTCAGGCAGCTTACAGATGGAGACAGCGCACACACATCTGCGGAAAAGCAGCCCTGGTTTTAAACTGCCACTCCCCTCGGGCCGGTTCCTGACCCTCTCTGAGCCTCTGTCCCCTCTAAGGGCTGAATATGATGATAGAGTGGCTTTCAAACATCTCCTTTTTCAAAGCTGTGGAACCCTGCTTTCCAACACACCCTCCACGGAAACCCCAGCATCCGAGGAGAGGGAAAGGTGGACTGGCTCTGGGTGGAGGTTGATGGGAGCGGGTCCCATCCAGAGCCCCGACCGCTTGGTCCCTCCCGCGCCTCTGCGGCGGCTGCAGACGGAGGCACGTCACGGGCCCACACGTCTGCCCCTGACCCAGGAGCTCACGCTGACACTCCCACGTACGGGTGCTCGGCACACGTTTGTGGAGATTCCTGAAGTCTGGCTAGGAAAACGAGGCTCAAATCGTAGGACTTGATCCCTGGGTCAGCTCAGTTCAGCACAGCACGGTCTGGGGCCACCCCGTAAGGCACTTCTACAGTTTCAGGAGAAAAGGATGGCTGTGGGAGGTCGGAAGTGGGGAGTGCAGGGCACGGCGGAGGCTTCTTGGGGAAGCTAGTCCTTTGCAGCTCATTTAAGCCACCTTCCCATGGTTGGCTGTGCCTTGTACAGACAGAGGAACTGAGGCCCCGGGGGACGCGGCTTACCCCGCACCTGAGAGGGAGCCAGCGCTCTGTGCCTGCTGACCCTGGCAGCTCCCCAGCTTCTGTTTGCCTCTGGCCTCCAGGTGAGGACCTGGAGGCGGGCAGCATCACCTCCATCTTCAGCAACCGGGCTGTGGTGAAGTACAGCCGTCTGCAGGACGTGCTGCAGGGCTGCTCCTGGAAGATCAACAACAAGCTGGACGGGACATACCTGCCCCTGCCCGTGGACAAGATCATCCAGCGCACGAAGCAGATGGTCAACAAGGTCGTGCAGTACAGCCTGATCGACGGCAACTGTGAGCACTTCGTCAACGACCTCCGCTACGGCGTGCCCAGGAGCCAGCAGGTACAGCGCCGGTGGCTGGCCGGGAAGGTGGCGCTTCCCGCGCGGAGCTGTCGGGGGCTCCCGTCTCATCGGAATGGCCGTCAGTGGTCCCGTGTTATCGTTGCCCTGGTGGGGCCCCCTGTTTCTACAGGACTGGGCAGTTCTCTTCATCGCTACTAAGCCGTTGGAGGAGTAGAAAGGGCAGTGAGCTACCTAGCGAGACCGCCGGTAGAGTCTGGCTTGGCCATCAGTTGGCCTGGTCTCCCTGGTCAAGTCATTATATTTCTGACACCGTCCCTTGCTTTACAAAATGGGGACACACCGAGGTAGACACTTTATTGCTGAAGTCGCAAACTACCAGCCTGTGGGCCGCATCTGGCCACATCTGGCCCACAGACGTGTTTTGCTTGGATGACCCGTATTTTTTTTTAATAACGATATAGAAATTTTATATAAAAGTACCTGGATTCCCAGCCTCGCTGAACAAGCCGCCCATCAGTCCCGGCCTGCTGACGCTCTGCGGGGCCCACTCCCTCTGGCTGGGCGGGGCAGCTGCTGGGCTCCTACCGACTTCAGCCACACCCGCTGCCCGGTGCTACTGCCTGTGGGTTTGTGACCCGCCCCCCATGACGGAGGGCGGTGACACAGTGAATGAGGGACAGTGGGTGCGAAAGAGCTTGGGAAGCCTAAGTGTCTGTGACGGTCTGGGCTGCTCTTGTTCATATTTGGTCCTTACTAAACCCCACAAGAAGAGCAGAGGAAGTGTTATTAATTATCGCCTTTGTAATAGGTTTTTTAAAATCATCGATTAAACGTGACATGTAATTTTTCTATGTTCTTTCCCACGTTCCCTGTATCTTCTTAGCACACTGGATTCCCAGCATTGTTCTTGCTCCCTCTGCCATGCCGTGCCATCCCTCAGTGGCCGTGCGCAGGCCTCCCCCGCTGTCCGTCCCTCCCAGCTCTCCCTTCCTGTGTCCTCCTCCTTTGCACTCTGGTCCTCTCCCCACCTGCATCCTCCTCTCGTGGGCCCTGGTGCGGTGCTAGGGGCCTGGGGGGGGGCGCCGATATGGGGGATCTCCCATCCCCTGAGCATTTGCACATGCAAAGAAGACCCCAAGAGTCAAGGGAGTGTAAGAGGCCCTTGTTCCTCAGACACCTGGGCCCAAATCTCAGCTCAGACACTAATTTACTGTGTGACATTGTCTAGGTGAGTTTCCCTTCCCGGTTCTCGGGTTTCCTGTATGTAGAATGAGGGCCTCGGTGGCTGGGCCACTCTCAGATCCTTTGCCTCTGAGCCCCACCTTGAGGTCAGACGCTGGGCTGAGTGGTTGTGAGGAAGGCAGGGGACCAGGAGCCCAGTGCCCCCCGCCCCACCCAGGGGAAAGGGAGTGCACCTGCCTCAGGTGTCCTTCCTGGCCAGTCCTGGCTCCTCTTGGTCTCTTGCAGCTCTGGGATCGCTGGAAATAAGGAGCACAGGTTGCTTCCTGCTCTGGGAAAAGCCTCCAAACAGGCCGGCTCCTGCAGGGGAGCGGCAAGGTCGGGGCGGGACGGGGTGCAAGCCTAGGGTCCTCACTGAGCTTCCCACAAACTGATCGGCTTTGCAGGTGGAGCAGGCCCTGATGCAAGGCGTGAAGGCCGCGGGAGCCATGATCTCAGCCGTGGTGGAGAGCCTGAGGCCCAACCCAGCAACCGCCAGAAGTGGCTGAAAACACCAAGCAGGGGAAGAGCTCTCGACGTCCGCAAGGAGACCAGCCATTCCTCCTCTGCTCCCTTGTCTCCCTTGCTCAGTGGCCCCTAAGAAAACTGTGAGCTTCTGGAAGAACCAAGAATGTATCCAATTACCCCTTTCGAAGCACACCCAATATACGTGATTAGATCCACGGACTCTCAGGGTGGGAAGAATCTAATGTATATTATGCAACCGTTAAGCACCAGGTACTGTGCGAGGCGCTCCCTGTACTAACTCGGTCGTTCTCCTCTCTTTGTAGAAAAGGGTCTTACTTGTTTCTGAGGCTGAACCTAATCTGTGACGCTTGAATACCATCTGGTATATCCTGGAAACCTCTGCTGGAATGTTCCCAGTAATGAAGAACTCTTTTCTGAAGCTCTTTTTAATGAACGAAAATGTCTTTAGCTTTTCTGGATCGCCCTAGTCCTGCCCTCACTGACCCACAGGGCAGCTCAAAGGAGGAGGAGTCTAAGAAAACCTCTAGCTCACCACTCAGGGCCAACGGTGCCTCCTCTGGGAACACCTTTCCTTTCGAAATTATACATCAGCTTTATCCATCATTGTTTAAAACCCTCAATTTAAAGAAGAATCAGTTAGACCATTTATCTTGCTTTTCTACCTTAAAAGTGCCAGAAAATTTGAAATTGCTATTTTCATTGATTTCAAGTGCATATTTAGAATAACTTAATCAATGGACTTCTACCGTGTGAGTGGGGGAAAGGAGAGAGTGACTTCTGTGTTTGGGAGAATGTTGACAGGATGGAAGGTTTAAATTACCATGGCGGATTGTCAGTGCCAGTTGGGAGCTGAACCCACCCACGAAGACCAGGGGCGGGCTCTGGAAACACCCAGCAGACGGGTAGAATGTGGGAAAGAGAAGGCGGAGCTGTGGGATCTGTGAGGCTCTCCCGTGAGCCTTTCTCCCCTCTGGAGAAAGTAGGCCTGCAATGAAACTTTTCCATTTCTTCCCCTCCATTCTTCTCTTAGCAATCCACCTTGACCAGAGCCTCCTAGACCTCAGACCCTGGAGTCTGGGTGTGTCTTGGACTGTCTTCTGCCTGCCCTTCCCCCCAGCAGAGCTGCCTCTCTGTCTCTGCTCAGCTCTGATGCTGGTGGTTGGAGCATACCCTGGTCTGTGCAAATCTTCACCAGGACGCGCCGCCGACCCCTGTTCCCAGTCACCTCCTCCCCACCTGCCAGGAATAAGTCCAAGTCCCCACGCCTCTCCCTGTGGTCTCCTGACTCATTACACGGCCTAGGGTGAGACTTCCTCGGAAACAGCCCCATACACCAAGAGTTTACACTCTATAAAGCACATTCCTTTCAGCTATTCACTCATGTATTAGTGAACCTCTTGGTCAGAACCCAACTTTGAACTCACAGGCCATATTAATGATTAATCACACAAACGGGGTGCTATTGATTTAACAAACCACTACCCCACACCAAGGAGTGTTCGGTGACTTCTCGTCAAGGGACTCGTCCGTGTCCTGCCTGTGTTTAGGACAGAAAGATACTTCCCTGGCTTCTCTCCGGTTTGGACAGAGACCCTGAGGAGTATATCAGGACGGATGCTCGCTCCTTTTCCAACAAACATTTCTGAGTGTCTACCAAATGCCAGCCTCGGCTCCCCCACCTTTGCCTGAACCCACAAGCAGGGCCAGTGATGGCGGGGAGCAGTTCTGAGTCGGCTAGGGAGGGGGCGAGGAGCGTGGGGCAGACAGCGGTCTCTCCCTGCTTCCAAGCTCTCCCTAAAACCGCCTACTTGGCAGACGAGGAGCGGACAGGTATTAAAAACCTGAAGCAGTTTCTGCATTCTAGGGCAAGCACGGATGTCTCTGCTTTAAGTGGGACCACTCGGGTGAGCCTTTTTTAGTCTGGTCTATATAAGGCACAGCCCCACTAGTGGGGGGGGGGTTGTTATAGATGTGAAGGGAAAGTAATCGGAGTGCAAATGTTTCTGAAATGTTAACTACTGGTCTCTTGTTTGTGTGCTTCTTTTTTAGTGTTTATTCCTTTTCACTTCGGGGGTGGTGGGCTAGTGGGGACAATGGTGGTATTGGCATGTCACCGGGACAGCCAGGGAACTGAATGTGCCACGTTCCTCAGTGGTAGGGAGGCCCAGTATTGGTGACACACGAGCCAGCAGGTGCCACACTCGATCTGGATGTTTTGCTTAGTGACAGAGAGGCTGAGCCCAGGCAACACGAAGTAACTCTGCAGAGACTGTGATGATGATGAAGGGGCCAGGGTTCGCCAGCTAACCCACCGGCAGTTGGGAGTGGGGCGCCTGTCTGCCAGCGAGGCCAGCTGAGTAAAGGGGCATGCACCCCACCGCTGGGGCAGCCAGTCGGGGGGCTGAAGGGAGGAGTGGACGGGGGGAGCCCCATGTGACACCAGAAATAGAGATAAGCTGCTCCCCAATTCTCGGTTTTAAGATTTTGTCCTATGCTTATAATACCCTTTCGTTATTCTCCAGTCCCACACTGAGAAGGGGGTAAAGGAAGGAGTGGTGCCCACAGTTGGCAGCACCCAGAAGGGAAGTGCTCAGGGACCACCCAGGGAGGCCCCAGATGCAAGCAGGCCCGAGGAACCCCACGTCCATGTCCTCCAGGACCCGGATTTCCTGCAGCCAGGACCCGGATTTCCTGCAGCCGGGTGCAGGAGAGCTTGGTTCAAAAAGTGAGATTTGACAGGGAAGGATAACTCCAGAGCCTTTAGGATTTGGGCTTGTATAACTCATGGTCAAGTGCAAGGTCAGGTCAGGTCAGGGGCGTTGGATCCACTGCATTCTGAGGGTCACAGACCATTTTGGCCCCCACGCTGTTCCCTGCTAAAATGGCTTCCATTACTTCAGCCAAACAATACCTGACCTTATACAAATTCCAAGAAGGCTCTTCGTCACTCGAGTTTCTGTTCTCCCAACATTTCCGTTCCCGGAACTTTTGAAACAGACCGTATAGCTTCACAGACACTGAAACGAGAAGGCAAGTGTTTGGGAAGCCCATGCCGCTGTGTGACCCTGAGGAAGTGGTTTGGGGTTTCTTTTAGTCTTTGTTTCGTTTTGCTTGATTATGGTGGGCATTGTTTTAAAAAATATTTTTGGTTATTCAGATTCAGCTCACTAGGTTCCATATAAAAAGATGAACTTGGACTTCCGGCAATATGGAGGCATAGGTGGATGCACCGTACCTCCTCGCACAACCAAGATTAGAACAACAACAATTTAGAGGTAGAATAACACCCAGAACTGATAGAGGATTTATCTGAATGGAAGTCGGACAGCCAAGAAGTTGAAGTAGACCCGTTCATCCAGACCGGTAGGAAAGGATGAGCCGGGAGGGCACGGGTTGGTGGTGCGGAGGTCGGGGAAAACTTGGCACCAAATCAATGCGTGAGCCATCCGGGGAGCACAAGAACGCAGCGGTGGACCCTGAGTACTCAAGCTGCGGCTGGCGGACCCAGTGAGGCAGCGATTGTGGACCAGGGCAGAGCTCGCAGCCCAGGATCCCAGAGAAGGGACTGAGATCCCAGGAGAATGGAAATCCCGCTATTGTGCCCTCCCGCCCCCGCTCCCGCCCCCACATATAACGTCACAATCTAGCGATTGGGGTGCCCAGCCCCGGTGAACACCTAAGGCTCCGCCCCTCACTGTAACAGGAGCGACCAGACCAAAAAAAACAACAACAACAACAAAAAAACAAGAGAGAGCGATGGCTCAAATAGAAGAACAAATCAGTGTCCCAGAACTCATCCTTTTGAGTGACCAAGAGATAGCTAACCTATCAGATGCACAGTTCAAAACACTGGTGATCAGAAAGCTCACGGAATTGGTTGATTTTGGGTACAAATTAGATGAGGTTACCATAAAAGAGATGCAGGAAGATACACGGAGGAGAGCCAATAGTGAAGGGGAGGAAACTGGGTCTCAAAACAATACAGTGGACCAGAAGGAAGATAGAATCAACCAAGTAGGAAAGCATGATGAAATAAGAATTCAAAAAAACAAGGAGAAACTTAAGAGCATCCAGGACATCTTTAAACGTTCCAACATCCGAATTATAGGGGTACCAGAAGGGGAAGGGGAAAAGCAACAAATTGAGCACATATTTGAACAAATAATAAAGGAGAACTTCCCCAATCTGGCAAAAGAAATAGTCTTCCAAGAAATCCATGAAGCTCAGAGAGCCCCAAAGAAGTTGGACCCAAGACGAAACACACCAAGGCACATCATAATTACATCAGCCAAGGTAAAAACGAAGGAGAGAATCCTAGAAGCAGCAAGAGATAAGGGGACACTAACCCACAAAGGAGTTCCCATCAGACTGTCAGCTGATTTCTCAAAGGAGGCCTTGCAGTCAAGAAGGGGCTGGAAAGAAATATTCCAAGTCATGAAAGACAAGGACCTACATCCCAGATTGCTCTATCCAGCAAAACTCTCATTTAGAATGGAAGGACAGATAAAGTGCTTCTCAGATAAGGTCAAGTTAAAGGAGTTCATCATCACCAAGCCCTTATTTTATGAAATGCTAAAGGGACTTACCTAAGAAAAGAAGATAAAGAAAAAAACATGTATAGTAAAAGGACAGCAAACTCACAATTATTAACAACCACACCTAAAGCAAAACCAAAAGAAACTAAGCAAACAACTAGAACAGGAACAGAACCACAGAAATGGAGATCACATGGAGGGTTAGCAACAGGGGAGTGGGAGGAGGAGAGAGGGGGAAAAGGTATAGAGGATAAGTAGCAAAGAATGTAGGTTGAAAATAGATAGGGGGAGGGGGTAAGAATAGTACGGGAAATGTAGAAGCTGAAGAACTCATAAGTATGACACATGGACATGAACTAAAGGGGGGGGAATGTAGGTGGGAGAGGGGGTACAGGGTGGAGGGGAGAGAAGGGGGAAAATGGGACAACTGAAATAGCATAATCAATAAAATATATTAAAAAATAAATAAAAAGATGAACTTTTAT